TTGTGTTCATAAAATTATATAAATTATGTATAGTATATAAATTATGTATAATCTATGTAAATATTCTGTAGCTTTCAGAGAACTTTTCAATATCATGCAATTATTTTTCTCAGAGGTAGAAGTTGTATTAATCATAATAAAAATATCAGATAATTTAAGTGGTGTTCAAAAGTAAAAATAAAAATGGCACTATGCCTGTAATGCCTAGGAAATTATTTATTTACCCGTATGAGTCGCCCTTAATGTTGTCAGGGTTGGACTCCAGATTACATAACTAAATGCCGTGGAGCAGTGACAGATTCTGATTTTATATTTCTCCTGCAAAACCTGAAAACATTCTGAGAAATGAAAGCCAGGAACAAAATATGCAGAGGATTAGGCTATGTAATGAAAACCCAAAATGCGATTGAGCACGTACAGGCTGGCCTTAATTTTCTAAGGAGAGACTTGTTTGCCACATCCTTGAAAAACCTTCAGATGAGAATACATAGCTACATGGCATTTTTATGGTCAGACTTGACTGCAGTTCATTCTTTAACAGTCCATTTATGTTGAGAAATGTCTTTATAAGCATGTTAGTCTGCTTGAGGGCTGCCGGAAAGAGAAACTTCATTACATCTCTCTTTCATTTGTAAAACTTCCTTTTTTAAAAATAGAACTATCCCTAGGACCTAGGAATCTATTTCAGTATTTGACTTCTGAGGCATTTTGCAAATTTTGTTAAGGTTAACTTTTTTCATAATGATTCCATTAGTAAAGAAACCCATGATTGCCTTCATATTACACATTGTTAGATTTAAAATTTATAACAGCTATAATAAAGATACGTTCCATAAAATATATCATGACTACTTTTATGTATGTTCTAATATATTTCGTTGGATTGAAGTTGCATTTATTTCTTTAAGAGAACTAGTCACTACAAAACTAGCAACCATGCTTAAATCGCAATTGTTGAGTCTTGCTTTATTTTTAACTCTTTTAATGTGGAACTAAGGACTGAGAAGTAAGGAGATATACTCATTGTTACTCAGAAGCTTTACTGGTATAGAGACACGCTGAATGATTGGACTTCCCATGTGGCTTTCCATCATGATATCCCAAAGTTGAAATAGGAGGTTATTCTGCCAAGTTGTCAAGTTAGCAGACAAAAATCAGAATGGGTTCTACTGCCACCATGGAAACCAGCCCCTCTAACTTCAAACAACATTAAATCCCCTCTTTCATCTGGGTGGAAAGCCATATACTCACTACTTCTGCCAACCAGATAGACAGGACTGATGCCATTTAGATAAGTTCAAATACAGCAATTCAGCATCAGATCCATAATAAAGTGTGGTATTAATTACCTGGAAAATAAAATTAAAATATTGGACCAAGTATTCAAAAATAAGCCCTCATGGTTTGGAGTTTCAGAGGCCTTTCTTTTCTATGTAATGTGCAGAATGAATATGAGTATTCTTGTTTTCTGTGTAAAACAAAATTTACAAAACAAATGATTTTTTTTTTCAATATCATGCGTTCTTGTTAAGATGTCTGCTTCCTTTATTGTCTATCTTACAGCAATCGCTCTCTTCCTTTCCTTTTTATTTACTTGGACTGAAACAAAATGAACAGTAGTTTTCCTCACTGCTGCTGAACACTTGTTATACAATTTAATATTATAATTTTATATGTAATGTGGATATATTTCTCAAAGAATGCCAAGAAAGGTTAGGATCTCAGATATTTTGTTGTTAGCACTTGGAGGATCAAAATGACATGAACTGGTTTGTGTAGTAAAATGTTCATTCATCACCTAAATTTGGGTATTAATTGACAGAGCACTTTCCGTAATTCTAGGAGATTTATTTTTTCTTTCATAGAGCCAGATGCATATTATTTTGTATCTTGATAAAACACAGTCAGACAATGTCACATCTGGTTTCTATCTAATACAGAATTTTAAGAGAAAGTAAAAAATACCTGAATTTTCTTAAGGCAACTTCTTAGACTTAATTTTATCTGAAGTATCTTTTGTACAAAAAATACTTTATAATAAAATGTAATGATGTGCATATTGTTGGAGGAGATGCTTTTATGAGATTTGACTCTGTGCTACTATATTTTATGAGAAACAGGCAAAGGGCTTCTTAGACAGATATGACTGCTCACTCAAGCATTCACATGTTAGGTCTGTGATATTTAATGATTATTTTTGATATCCTTATGAAAACTAGTAAGCTGAAGCACCAACTAAACAACTGAACACATCATTTAAAAATTACATTACTTCAGAGCATTACCCTTTATTCAAAAGCATTCATCTGACTCTTCCACTTACCTATTATCTTGAAGATTATTCCAAAGGGTAAAAGATTCAGATTTTTTTCCCATGATGATCACTACTTACCTTGGAAATGTTATATACACTGGGGCATTCCACTTCATATTTATTCGCATTTCAATAATTCCTGTTCCAAAATGCCTTCTTCTTCTCCCATGTAAATAAGCATTCCATTGTCAAGTTTTTTCCTAGCAGACCTATATTCAGAATTTCATAGTATTCAGGTCTCAAATAATATCCTGGTTTTTATCTTATTATAAGGCCTAAGAGCAACCATGGACCAGCAACAATTTTTTTTTTCAAAAAAACCAAAACCAAACAAAACATTGATCAATGTTCAAAGGTCAAATGTCCTATTTCAACCACAGGAAAATATGATATTGATTCCATAGTATTCAGAATATAAGGGGAAGTGATTAAGCCATATCAGGGTGTATGTGTGTGAGCTATGCCAAATCCTCCTAGCACTTTACCAATACAAATATCTAGAAATGTTCAAAAGAATTGAGAAGATTGAGGTCATAGCCAGGTATAAAATGATATAGAGAAAAAAAGTTGGCAAATCTTCTTTTAGAACATCCTTGGTGAATATTCCCAAAGCAAACTGCATACCTTTAGTAGGATATATATCTATAATAATAAAAGCATAATATGCTAATTAGACTGGACAGCTGAATGACCTTCCAGACATCCTTCCGGACAACCTTCCAGATGAAGCTGGGGCTGCGAAGGCTGAGCCCCTTACACAAATTTTGTGCATCAGGCCTCTAGTATGTGTGTAACAATTATTATTATATTACCTTAATTTGGTTAATTATGAATGGCATATTTTGAGTGCATTAAGTATTAGAGAATACTGCCACTGGTTGCCTATGTATAGAGTAAAAAGAGCAGTCAACATAGAATTGTTTTACTGTAAGGATATACCAGATGTATAAATAGTCACAGCACAGTGTGTGATTGTCTTGATCCATCAGTGCAGCTTCTATACTGAGGGGCCAAAAGCCAAGGACGTTATGTGGAGCAAATACAGATATTTCTAATTATAAACATCTAGATTTCAGTGTCCTTTAAATCATACATTTATACCACTTCACCCTTCAACCCCCAACCTGCATGAGAACCTTTTGTCAAATGTGTGTCTATATTCACTGTGGAAGTCAAGTTTGGCGTAACCATTCTTTTATCCATATATATTTGTTTTTTTTTTTCTAAAATGTATTAAATAGGGCAAACATAATCTCTTATAGGATTGAATTGTATGCTTCATTTTCTTACCTAAATTTTTAGCTCAAGTTCACCTTTCATTCTATTCAGTAGGATTTACCTAACTGTTTAGCCAATCCCTCACAGAAAGGAGAATTGCATGCTGGGTCTAACTCCATAGGAATTATAAACTCAAGATGAAAGAAGGGTTAGAGTCAGCAGAGACAGAGCTCCTTAAGAACACAGCAAGTAGAGAAGGCAGGGTTTTTTCCCTTCTTGACTTATGCCACTCTTCTTTATACTAGCACATGCTTGAAATTCCTTGGTGGGTTTGTTTGTTTGTTTTGTATATGGGAATATATTAAGTACATCTGGTACTGAAAAGCTTGATAAATGGCCGCAAAAATATTTTCCTTTTCCCCCCAAGTCTTCTCCTCAGCAAAGTGAATGAGAATCGTTTTCCTAACACGGAAGGCAGGGAATAAGGGAGCAAAAGCCTGAAAGAGAATTGGTGATGAAAACATAGAGGCAAGACCCTTGTGTGATCACATTCATTTGCTATCCATTCCTTCTAGTTCTCTGACCTACTTAGCTAGTAATGATTGGTTTTTCACATCTGGACATCACAAAACTCTGGTGTGAGGTCCAACCTGCAGAGTTAAGTGTGGGTATCAAAGCAGCTCATCCATTAGAACCTGAAGTTTGCTCTAGCTTGGCCAACTCTTGTTTCACCAAAGGGGAGGCAGGTTTTAAGGGTCACTAATAAGAGGTGTAGATTTTCACTTTGCTTCAAAAAAAGGCAAAGTCATACATATATTATATGAAAATATCAGGAGAGTGTCACAGTGCCAGTAACCCCCAAGTTACTCTTTTCCTTGGAAGTTAGTGTATGTTCTCACACTGAAACTTTCTCCAGTTTCTTCAAGTACCTTTAGCAGGTTACCATTGTATTAGCATTGCTATCTCTTGGTATGAATCCAGTCATTCATAACAAGTTCCTTACGTGTACTTCTTTAAACTCTGTAATCTGCATTTGGAAAAAGAGGGGCAGCTCTTCCAGACGGATGGAAGAAACCATGAATCAAGAGGATTCTGTAATAACATTAACCTGATATTTTGAAACACCGGGGTCACAATTTGCAATCTTTCATGTAACAGTAAAACTAGAGCTGTCCCCCAATAACGAACTGATATTTCTTTAATCATATATCACACAGACAGTGATTGACTCAAGGGCATGAACCAGGTCTTGTCAATTGTGTGTCCACGCTAAAAACAATGTTTAACACATGGTAGGTCTTTAATAATTATTGTTAAATGAAACTTAATTTGTTGACACTCAGCACCAAAAATGACTTTTCAACTTGGATAACTTAGAATACCTTTGCATTCAGATGTCATACTTTGCCTAGCCGGCAGAATTTTATGAGATGGTAAAGAAATTATACTAAAACTTTCTTCCAACTGAAATTGAATTTACTTCACAAAATCATGATTTTTAATCTGAGCATTTAAAAAGGGTGACCCTAATGCGAGGAAAAAATACCACAGCATACTTGAATATATAGATCCAAAACTCAAGTCAACCTAATGAGACAGGACCCCATGGTGTTTGATGCTGTGACTGAAAAATAATGTATTTTCTTTCTCAGAAAGTAGAAAATCGAATTACCTTTAAGTTTCTTATATTTGAGCCATACTACAAATGAGCTGTGTCCAGATACAGAAAAACCAACAATATTTTTATTTATAATCTTATTTTTAGCGTTTGAACTACAAATTCTGGTTCTAGAGTTGTTGAAAAGATCATGGGTTTTATAGGTGCTCATATGTAAATTAATCTGTTGTTTGCTTACTTTTTTTTTCTTTTTTCCTTTTCCACTGATGGTCCTCCTCATAAATACAGAACAGGTCATTACATGAAAAATATAAGATCTTGCATTATTTTTCTCGTTCTTTCTTAAAAATCTATTTCTAATATTGCATTCCCCGTTGGACTACTTCATGAGGGCATGAGGGGGAAAATAAAAGAGGGAAAAAAAAGACAAAAATAGACTGGATCTCACCACTAGAATTCACCATAAAAATCTCAAAGTGTAACAGAATTCTTACAAAATTTCCTAGACCAGTTCCTTAGGGAATTGAGATCTATGAAAAATATGGCAATCAGGGAAGGCAGGGACAAGATATGCGAAAATAGGAAATAAGTGCAGCAAAAACAGGTTCTGAGGAATACACATAGTTTTGTCTGCTTTAGATCACAATAGAATTTTTAATAAATAAATTTCTTTTCTTTTTTGTATTTTTTTTGTAAAGACACTTTTTTTTGAAACAGTAGATTTAGCCCAGTCATTTGTGTCATTATTAATAAACTGTCTTTTTTTTTAATTGTTTGTTTTCTGTAGCCGTAAATGTTTTAGATCTGAGTCTCTTGTACATTGTCTTTCGAGTTCATTCGGATCAATAACGGTTCATGCACTGAACTGTGTATTGAATTTATTGTGTTAACTGTTGTTGTGTGGTTGAAGGGAGATTTGTAAGAGTTATAGTGATTTAGGTGCTCATGCTCGATAGCAGGCATGGGCAGGTGGCTTTCCATGGGAGTGTCTCCTGTAATCTCATCATCCACATTAATGATTTCAACAGTCCTTGTGGGGGCGTGATGGTTTTGCCTATGGTGCTGCTTCCTCATCTTGTAGAAAATGACCAGCATCACTGCAGCCATGAGTGTGATGGCCACAAAACAGCCAATGATGATTTTGGTAGTCTTCATGACCTCATCAATTCCTGGGATCCCACTGTTCAGATCAGTCACTGGGATGGTGAATGCTTTTTCTGTTGACCTTGTGCTCTGTGGCATGAGAGAGGTGGTCACATTGGTGGTTTCCCAGTCAATCGCTGGAGTGGGACCTACATTGTTGTCTGTGGTCCGTGCCTCATCCTGAGAAGGTTCCATAGTCTCTACTGTGACAGTTGAAAAGTAAGTAAAAGGAGTGGTGGCTGCTGCAGTAACATTCAGGGTGGCTGAAGCAGTGGTATTTCCAACAGAATTGCTCACCATACATGTGTACATGCCTGTATCTTGCACAGTTACATTCGTGAAATTTAACGTGCCATCGCTGAGCACAGCTATCCTCACTTTGTACGCCCCGTGTGTCATAACTGTTCCATTTGGGGTGATCCAAGATACGGAGGTCAGGGATGTGGAGGCCCGGCATTTTAGCTCAGCTGCCATGCCTTCAGTGACATTGAGGTCTGCTGGGGGCTCCACAATCACAGGAGCATAACATGTGAAATAATTCTGGTCGAGCTCCCCAATGTACCTCCCTTTCAGATTGGGAGGAGTGTTACAACGGGCACAACAAGCTGTGTTGGAGGGGGCCATGTCTTTTATCCACCAGCTGAGCCACAGTATGTCACAGTTACAATTCCAAGGGTTGTGATGTAAGTGAATCCGCTCTAGATGATGCAAGGGTGTGAAGAGGTCATGAGGCAGTAACGTTAGATTGTTGTGCGCCAGGTTGATTTCCACCAGTGACTGAAGGTTATCAAAGGCATTCCGTTCAATCACTTGAATCTGGGACTGTATCATCCACAGTTTTTGAAGGTGCATCAACCCCTGGAAAGAGCCCGGCCTGATAGCAGACAAATGATTCCCAGAAAGGTCTAGCTCATCTAGTTTTATGAGCGGTGTGAGGTTAGGGATTTCCCGTAGGTTGCACATGGCCAGGTTCAAATACCTCAAGTTGGACAGACCTTCAAAGGCACCTTCTGAGATGTATGAAAGCCTTTTCAATTCGCCTAAGTCTAGCCGGCGCAGAGAAGGGATTCTGTTAAAAGCATAAGAAGGGATGCTTTCGATGGGGTTGTTTCGCAACCAAAGCTCCTTCAGTTTAGACAAATATACAAAAGCTCCATTTGGGATGGTAGTGAGACGATTGTCAAAGAGTTCCAGAGTGTTGAGGTTCGCCAGACCATTGAAGGCCCCGATTTCAATGGTTCTAATGTGATTCCTACTCAACTGGAGGATTTCCAGGTGCCTCAAGTGCTTGAAGCTGTTCACTTTGATGATCTGGATTTGGTTCTCATGGAGGTTCAGCAGCCGAGTGTTGGTGGAAATGCCATCCGGAACCTCGCGTAGGTTTTTCCGAACACAAATCACCTTGCTGAACTGGTTGCTGCAGGAGCAGACCGAGGGGCAGGTTTGAGCCCGCACCAGACCAGCCACCACGAGAAGTTGAAGAGCCAGCAGCACCACAAGCAGGGGGTCAAATAAGGCCCTGTTAAACCTAGGACCTATCATTATCTGCTGTGGATGTAAGGTCATCTTGTTCAACATTCATAATTTATCTGGTGTTGGTCCTTCTGGAGCTCAAATGGTCTGCAATACAATAAGAGCAAAAAAAGAGAGAGTTAGATCTCTCTTCCAACATGTCTTTCTGGAACAATGCCAGTGATACAGCGTATCAGCCATCATTTCTCAGACTAGGCAAACAACAAATTTAATATCCTTTATTGAGTAATGAGTCTCATATTTTTATAAAAATGTTCCTGCACTTCAAATTAGCAGCCATCTACAGACCCTATTCCATCAGCTATGCAATCACAGAGAAATGGAAGAATGAAGCGGAAAAACTTAATAGAGTGATAACCAATCAGTGTGAGCTGAATGCATGAGGACAAATGAGGTGTACTCCACCATTCAATTCACTGTCTGATCAAATTGGAAAAGTTCAGAAAATAGAATTTGGGAGCTATACCCACAAATCTAATAGATCCCTTGCAAATTAGTAATAGCTGACATTTTATTTGGGGTTACTCTATGTGCCAGGCACCCCGGGCTATAGGCCTCACAAACAATCCTATCCAGGAAGGCTACATAAGTTGCAGAGCTCAATATAAAATGAAAATGTGGGATGCCTTGTTAATAATTATTAAGAATTTCAAATCCATAACAATAGAGCATGAAGCTAAGTGTAGACCCTTCTGAGAATGGGGCCCTTTGCAATTACACAGTTTGCCTGTCTGATCCTTTCCAAACCTGCATTCCTCTGATGTGGGAACTGTGATATTCTCCATTTTCAGGATGAGTAAGTTTATCATAGAAATAACATGAATACATTCACATGGTAATTACAGAGCCAAGGCTAAGATGTTCCTCTGATCGGTCCAGAAGCATATGATTTCAAATACTCTACAAAAAGGTTGCTGTGAGAATGAAGGCAATATATATATTCATTTCTTTAAAATACTTTTACTTTGGGTGACCTCCACTGTAAACACTGGCAACTTACCTTATGGACCCTGTGAAAATCCACTGAAATAGTGATGTGCATACCTGTACACGAACTTCTAGAGATTCTGCCAAAACCGGTTTGGCTCAGTGGATAGAGCGTCAGCCTGCGGACTGGGGGGTCCCAGGTTCGATTCCTGTCAAGGGCATGTACCTGGGTTGCGAGCACATCCCCAGTGGGAGATGTGCAGGAGGCGGCTGATCGATGTTTCTCTCTCATCGATGTTTCTGACTCTCTATCTCTCTCCCTTCCTCTCTGTAAAAAATAAAATATATTTTTTTTTAAAAAAGAAAAGAAATAGTGATGTGCACACCTGTACACGAACTTCTAGAGATTCTCATATACAAAAACTCATAACATGGCCTACTGCTATCTATAGGTAGACATGCCATAAATTAAATCATTTTCCATAAAGCCTAATGTCTGTTTATAGAAAAGATTTCAATATAACAGAACTACTGCATGTCTTTTATCCCTACTCTTTTAAGTAGATTTTAAGAGAAATGAAATAACTCACTTTCTGCATTTCTTCCAGCACAAGGAGGCATTCTCAAGGAACCTATGTTACCCAGTATATGGCCCACTCCACTGGCATACCAGGCATTGGACACCTGTGTAATGACTTCTCCCAAATCTCTTATCTCAATAAACAGTGACCATTCTATGAATTTCTTTGACTGAGAAAAAAAAAATGGGGGGAGGGGGAAGGTACCAGGAACTGACCATATTCTTATTTAAAACGGCACTAATTTAGTGTTTATGTCATGTTGACTTGGGGAAGTTAAATTTTATCCTTTCCATGGTTCAATCTCCTCACTTGCAAAATGCAAATGTTCAATTCCCCTTATTGTTGTTGTGAGGACAAACTTAGTTAATGTAGATAAAGGGTTTAGAACAATGCCTCCCACATTGTAAGAACTCAATAAATGTTAGACATTATTGTTATTATTATTACTGTTTTTATTTTTGCCCTTAGCCAGGCATTTTACTAACTACTGGGCATATAAAATAGAAGAATATAAACCCTACCCCTGAGCAAATTAAAATTCAAAAGGTGAAATACAGACCAACTGAGGAAGTGAAATAATAAACATTTGCTGTATGTGTTTGAGACCAGGCTGCATTTATACAAAGGCACTGACGGCAGAGCAACTCAATCTGCACTGACAAATTAGGAATTTTCAAAGGGAAGGATTATCTGATCTGTTTTGTAGAAGAAGTAGAGCGTTTCAGGCTGAGAGACCAGCCTAAGTCAAGACAAGGACACATGAAAACTACTAGTCCATCCAGGGAACAGTGACAAGTTCCCTGCAGCAGGAGAATGGAGAAGCCTGGGGAGCAGAATGGGACAGAAGCTGGGGTGAGATCAGGTCCAGACTGTCAAGAGTCATTACACACTTAGGAATCCCTGTTTCATCCTGCAGGTGACATGCTTTATTTTCAGAATGGAATCCTATCATCAGCTTTGTTTTTAAGAACAGCTAAAAAGATCTTATTGTTCCAAGTGAGTCTTGGAGAGAAGTCAATGCCAGAGATGGGCCCAGTTTCTTGGCCATCACTTCCCTGCCCACCACTCAAGGGCTTGAGGTGAAAAGGTGCAAAGGGCTGGCTCTTCTGCTGGTGGGGGGGTTCTCAGTGTGAATTAGCGTTTGTAAATAGCTTCATTTTCATAGAGCACACAAGATGGAGAAGAGGCCCTCCCCCGCCCCCAATAGCAGAAGATGCCTTACTCAGAAAAGGCAGCTGCTATTAGCAATTCTTAAATATATATACACATTTACAAAACCACTGAAAGTGACCAGAGTCTCAAGAAGGTGAAGTTTAAAGTCATAGGTTGCTTTTTGGCTTCAGAGGCTTGTTGACGTCTCTTTCATTATGGCAGCAAAGAAAGTTGACTGATGGGTTCTGAGTTAGTATTTCTTTTCATGGGCTTCCCAGGCAGAACAACATGGGTCCTTCCATCCTTTCTCTGGGCTATTGGGGCTCTCGGTTGACTTTTCACGCCATTCCGTACGATGATCCTTTGTTCCTGGGTCTATTTCCTGCCCTAGCCTATGAACTTAGTGAGGGCAGAGGTCATGTCTTATGGCCTCTTCTTAGCCTGCTGCCAACACAGTACCTACCTTGCTGTCCACACTAAATAAAATGACTGCTGAAATTGTGCAAACAGTTAATATCTAATGACGAGTCTTTGCATATGTGTAAGTGATATATACTAATGTGTCATTCATGTCTGCATACCAACCTATCTGAACCCCCTATGTCCTATTGGGGGTTCTCACATGACTCTTACATTCAGGCCAATAATATCCCTGTGTCCTAATCATTCTAGGGCTAGATATCCCTTTGTCCAGTATCCCCTGAGATGATCATACTAGCCCATCCAAGCCTATTTACCTTGCCTTCTCTCACAAAACACAACAAAGGCTCTTGCTCCACATTTTCCCCTTGCTCCTTCTACCTCCTGGCCAACCCTGGTGTTTCCCCTGTGTGGCATGGCAGGGTCTCTTCTCTTGGGAACTGTCAGTAAACAAATAAACAAACTTTTTTTTTTAATGGTCCTTGTCTCCTGATCTGTTTGTTGGCCTCACCAAACCTGAATTATAATAAAATCTACATTTTAGAACAACTAATTACTATATATCATAGACCCACTCATTATATTAATCCTTTGATGGCTTTATAAGTATTAATGTAGTTGGTAGATTTCATTCCATGAGTCAGATCCTATGCGGTAAATTTAAAAATGACCTTAAAAACACTTTCAGATTTACATTTTAAATAGAATCCTATTTACATTTCCACTAATCATGACCATCAAAGATTTTTCATTTGTGTGACTTGCTGTAGTTTTAGATGTGTTCCCCTTTCCCCAACACACACTTCTTAAGGCAATTGGGAATTTAAAGAAAAGAGAAGAAAGAAAAGAAAGAAGAAGAGAAGAGAAGAGAAGAGAAGAGAAGAGAAGAGAAGAGAAGAGAAGAGAAAAAGAAAGAAAAGAAAAGAAAAACACATAAAATCCCTAATACATTAATTGATTGATGTTTTTAGGAGTAGGGACCCCAGGCCTTGCCCCTCCATTTCTATGACTCCCCCCCCCCCCCCCCCCCCCCCCATCCCATGACTTTCCTTAGAATCTTAGTGTCTCAGGTAACACAGGGTGATAGAACTGGTTGACTGGAAACGGCACAGAAGTGAAGAAGATAAGTCCTTATTCTGCCATTTGCTACCTTTTTTTTCTCTTTAAAATATGAAACAGCAAAAAGTTATGTCCAGTGACCAAGAGAGAAGGCTCTGGTGTGAGACTTTCTAATTCTTTAGGCCTGCTTGAAACTCCAGGACCTTATATTGAGAAGACTCACCTGTCCATACTTCACTTTCCCCATCTGGGAAAGATGAACAACAGTGTTATGCATTCAAAGGCTTTTGTTAAGGCTGTCACGTAATATATGTAACATTACTGGCTCATAATAAGCAACATATAATAAATATTTAATATATATTAGAAAATAAAATGATGGGAATCAGTTTCTTCTCATATAAGACAGGAGTTACAACAATATTTATCATTTGTGTGGTGTGGATTAACTGGTATGATCAGAAACATGCTATCAATAAAACATGCAAACATGATATTACTATTCATTACAGGGTAGATATGCCTGTCCTCTTTTTATCCCCAGGCTGTTCTATTTTTTTACTTCTTGCTTACTTCAAGGTCTTTTTTTCCTATTGCAATTAATAAGATTTTCCATAAATCAGTCATAAGTAATGATTCAAAGCTGATTTATAACCTACAGCAAACAATGCTTAGTACAGTCATTGAATGAAATAAACTACTATCAAGAAAATGTTTTCTACTTTAACATCTAAATTATGTTACTTTACATAAAAATCCACATTTCCACATCTCTTTCATAAGATATTTTTATCACATCAAAAAGAAATCAATTTAAAGGTACGCACTGCACTATCCATTACGATGTCATCTGCCAGCATTTATTTACAAATGGATCTGCATGGGTTTTAAATTAAACTATAATACTTTTAGCCTGGTCCCAGAGGAGAGCTTGACTTTGTCAACAGA